TGTTTTTGGGAAGTTAAGCACACTATATTGATTGAGAATGTTGAACACGAGGAGTTTAATGACACATGGACTATCTGTGAAAAACATATAATGACTATGAGGGGGAGAACCATTGTAATTTAGGATTACAATCATTGTAATTTCCTTGAACAATCATTGTAATTTACTTTCCTGCTTGGGTAGATTGCTGAATTGTTTTTAGGATTTTGTCATGAAATTGCCGAAGGGGGAGATTGTGAGATATATTTTGTAATTGGCTAATTTTGTTGTCAAAAACAAGTCCGATCGAGTTATGTAATACCCCTAGTTTCAAAAGGATATAATTGGGATTTAATTTTTATATTTTTGAATTTGAGGTGCTTATGTGGTTATGTGTTTAGATGATTTTATGGTTTGTGTTGAATTTAATTAAAGGTATGTTTAACTAATTTGTTTAAATTACATTTTTGTTTTAATTATTGTATTTAAATTGGGTGGTTTGTTTAGTGATGTTATTTAAGAGTACTTTTATTTATTTTAATTGAATTTCTTGTTTTAATTGTTTTAAATTGTTTATTGGTTTATTAGTTTTTTTTTAAATGATTTAATTGGATTAAATTAGAAGTTATTGATTATAATGTGAACTTAGGGTTATATTCTTTTAGGAATTACGGTTTGGCCGACTGGGGTTAATTAGGGTTTCTGTCTCTAATTACAATTGGACCTAGGTTTTAGTATTTCCTATATATATACTGTTATAATTCTGTATGAGGGTGGTAGAACTCCGTTTCACGAACAGTGAGTTTTTGAGAGAAAACAGAGAGAATGAGCATTAGGGTTTTGGCCAAGAACCAAGGTTGAACCAAGGAGAGGAAGAAGAGGTGTTGCTCGTGGGTTGAACCTAGGGCAACAAAGGAGTGGATGACAGTCGAGAGGTTGCCGGAAAGTCTGGACAAAGAACGATTAAAGGTTTCAAACCAAAACTACAGAGGCAAGTTCTTTCCTTTCTCTCTCCCGTTGCCTGTGTTCTGTGCATCCTTAGACTGTCTCTAGGGTTTTAATTGATCAATAATTAAATTAGACATGTTTGTTATATGCTAAATCAGATGTCTATATGTGTGGAATTATTCTGTTAAAGTTCTGGTACCTTTGGTTTGCAGTTTGGAGTGGAAACATGTTTAATTAGTTAAGGTTTTAAACACTGTAATTGAATTGAACTATTATGAACAAGTCATGGGGATATTAATGGGATGTTATAAGACCTTAGGTTCAGTTTTGAAAAGGAGTAGAGGGGTTGGAATGGAACTGTAGTTGCAAGATTGTATTCAGTGGTTGATCGTAAAAGCGTGTTAAGACGATTGTTGTTTTTGTTGTTGTTTTAATTCCTACTGTTATAGCAAACTGATGGGATGCTACTGGGTGTTAATTAAACTCCTAAGATCAGTTTTAAAGACCAATAAAGTGTTAGGAATAGACCAGAGGTGAAGAGGACGGACTGAAACAAAGCAGGAACGGACTGAAGCTCGCAGAAGGGGAAAGAGACGGCTCCATGGAGGGAGGAGACGGCTCCCCCATGAGTAGAGCCTGCTCTAAAGGAAGTAGAGCAGGCTCTACGTCTAAAAGAGGCGGCTCTAGGCAGGTTAGAGCCTGCTCCACTTATTTGGAGAAGGCTCTATAATCATATTTGTGTTCTGGGGCTGTTTGTGTGTTGTTTGGTTCGATGGTTGTTTTTCTGAGCTGTGTTTGGGTTAGGGAGATGGATTTATATATTAATTCAAGAAATATTAAAGCCCTAGGATGCATTAATTTATTTATATGCTAAGGTTTTAAACCGTAGGAAAATCTAAGGCAAGACGCAGGCAGTTTACGGACTTAGCGGACCGAAAGGACTTATTTGTGCAAACTGCGTCTAGAAATTAAAAAAAGTTGGAGCATGGATTCCAAGCATTATATTATGCTATACTAGAGCCATTTTTAATAAATTAAGGTCTTTATACTCAGGGGTTTAATCGTGGGAAGGTATACAACGGTGTAGGCTGCTAACGGATGAAGGGGGTTTAATTGCCTAAATTAGTTTTAGCAATTTAACGGAATATGTATATATTTATAAATCTTGTTGGGGTGCCATGCTAGGATCATTTAATTAACAAGCTTGATCTAGGCATATCCTGGATGTTAATTGTTGAAAAACTAAATACTGTTCTGGAATGCATGGACTTAAGCTTGTAATCTTAATTGCGGTAACATTAAGCATTGCACTGCAATTACTTGGATTAGGGTTTGGACTTAAATTGCTGAACTAGTACTTAGGTTCTGTCATTCTAATTGGATGTTGGCCTGGAATTAATTGAAGAATTAAATATATATTTTCTGTCAATTACATGGATGAATGCTGGAATTTAACTTGACAAATTAGTAAACTTTGTCTTGTTTGATTTCATGGATGGATTTTGGATTTGTAGTTGATAACTTGTTTAAATTATGTGTTTATCAACTATATGGATAATGTGGACTTTATTTGATGTACTGCTTATATTGTTGCATCATTTACGGATCATATGCATGGTATGTACCGGTATGGGACGGTGACATACGGAGGGACGGATTAGATCAAAACACTAATTCCAACCCATTCATACATACGGAATGGATTAACTAAAACAGTTAAATCCTACATGGTTTCATGTCCTGTCAACTAAAACAGTTGAATGACATACTTGATGGTTGTTTATATTTCTGCGTTACGATGGATAGGGTTTTAACTAAAACGTTTAAATCCTGATTATATGTTGTGTCTTGACCAATGAACTATTGACCGGCACAACATTGTATTTGGAAGGAACTTATATATATAATTGGAGTAGGGATTTAATTAAAACATTTAAATCCTAATTTTATGTCGTGTCATGGCAACGAATCAGTTGAGCGGCACTACATTGGTTTGGATGGGAATTTATATATATAAATTATGGTACCGCGATTTGAGCTTGAGTCTCATAGTCGATGGTTAGGGTGCATATATGCAGTAGGATGCGTAGCTAGCTATGTTGGTTGAGGTATACCCTGTTAGGCTTAGGTAGTCATGCCCACTCAGGTGCGTATTGCATGTTACCTTCTATTCAGGTTGAGACCCTCAACATAGTTAGTGAGAGTCCTGTAGTGTGGATATATATTTATCTATTACGGACTATATAGATATGTTTGAGACGTCTAGGATGTATCTGCGTATCGGGTCTCTGTTTGGATTGTAGTTAGGATAGAACTTGTTCGTGGGCCTGACCCACTATTATTTTTCAGGTAACGGACGGTTCCAGGTCTTAGAGCTTATTCGTGCTGAGCAGAGACGACGACTCATTCTACTGACGATGTAGGAGGTTCTTCATGGTTTAGCAGTGGATTTCTTTTTAGTTGTTCGCTTTTCAGTATTGGCTTTTGATTAGGGGTCCACCAGATGGATTCCCGAGTTGTATTATAATTGGAGAAGTTGGATGTAACAGACTAGTTCTTATTTATAAGATTTATGCTGAAGTTTTCAATAAAGGATTTTCATTTAGTTTCTTTCCAACGAATTTTATTTACTCATGTTTATCTTAATTTTATTCTGTGTTCGATTATTGCTAATTTGTTTGATATCCTCGGGTAGTCGGGCGTGGGCCTGGCCAACCCGCATCCGAAAAATCCGGGAGTATCACAAGTTATAATTTTTCGATTCAAAATTTCGAAGATTGAAAATCAGATGCGGATTTGAAGAAGTTCAAGTGTTCATGATATACTACACTCCGAGATGATGAGAACAATGCTCTAAAAAGGTTGAGAGGTAGTGAGAACATTTAGGAAGGGTTTTGAAAGGTTTTAAACAAGATTTTATATTTTGTCCATTTTGAACTAGTTCAAGATTTATCGAACAGGTTCAATATCAGCAGAATTGTCTAAGTTTCAAGACTGGCCATCTTGAACTGATTCAAGGGGGCTGAATGTTCAGCCCCTCTGAACCGGTTCAAGAAGTCCTGGTACTATTCCAATATCAAGTTACTTTGTCTGTTTGTTTCCTTTTTGTTCTAAACTTCTTACCAAGTCCTATGCACGAAATTTTTCATATTTTCTGAGGGATTAGGACTTTATAAACTCTATATAAACCTTGTTAGTCTTTCAAGTTTATTCATGACTTTAAGGAAAATCAATTCTATATTTTGAGAAAGCCTTTTAGAGAGAGAAAAATTCAGAAAATCAAATCTAATTATTCTGAATTTATTTATAAGAGCACACGCATATATTCATGAGTGATTTAGTAGTGTTGTTCTTTATCTCATTGAAATTGGAGGTATATTGAAGATTCAGATATTCCGTATGAAGAGCATGATTTAATTCTTCTATACTGAGTTCAGATTTTGAAGAACAGAAGTAAAAGCGATTACACTTTGAAAGGGTTGGAGCGTTCGAGGAGTGTTGCCTGATCTACCTGCTACTCTTTTACAAATATCAAGCATAAGCCTGAGGTCAAGTTGTTGTTGGATGGGGAGTCGCAAAGTCAGAGGATTGTCAGCAATTGGTGTTTGGTAAAGCGATAGGGTGTGAGTTAGAGTCAAAGTTCGGTGTACTTTGTTTCAAACATAGTGGATCGGTTTACTTTGGACTGAATAGTCCACGAGGTTTTTCCCATGCAAACTGTTGACGTATTTTATCAACTGGGATTTCCTCACTGAAAATTCTGGTGCAATTTCTCTAAACTTAACTTGCTTTACTTTTCAGTATTTATATTTATGATTGTGGATGTTTAATTGATCAACTAATTTAATTAATAATAAATTGAGCAAGTTGACCTAATAATCAAATTTAGGTTAGTAAAAGAGTTAATCACAATTAAAATTAACTAACTAATTGTTTTCACACCCTACGTAACTCTATTTTCACATAACCTCAAGTGATTTTGGGTTTATCATTGATTCATCTAATATAACATACCCGTGCCTTTCACCAATATGCAAAATAATGACACAAAATTTCACTTGACCAAAGATTACCTGTCCATGGGGACTATAGCATTTGCTCGCCCGAGTATACCGAGGTTGATAAGCACCCATCGCAATTTCAGTGTCTCTAGTGCCTTCTAAGGAACGTTGGTTGATATTTGCAGACCCCAATATAACGTACTCATCATCCACTATCATTCCTTTTGAATGGACATAAATCATGAAGCGTCGATATTTTGTAGTGAGTTCCTGTATAAACAACACAATTAAAATTAATTGATTTGATTTGGAAGAATAACATTTAAATGGTAGTCAAAGCCTATAGAGGTAAGAGAATTGTACTTCAGGAGTTTTTGAGGCGAAAGGATTTCTATGATTTGAAGTGCTTTCCGTGTCTTGAGCCTCACGATTGCCAAGGCAGAAGAAATTCAGATAGTCTTGAGGTTCATATTTGTTGTCAAGCCCTACCTCTTGTAAAACCTTGTATATTTCTTCATACATCATTTGCATTGTATTATACTGCATAAATTAACAATATCACCAGGTTCATGAAAAGCGGCAAACAGCCCCCAAAATTTCCATATTGCTAAAGTATTTCCAAACACTGACGATTCAATTTTTGTGAATGAGACATTTATAATTTACTTAAAACTTAAAAGCTAATTAGATGTGCATATATATTGACTGAAAAAAAAAAAAAAATAAAAAAAATAAAATAAAAAGTATGTTTAGAATATGATATGCTACATATAGGCAGGAATTTAAGATGTAGAAATGTGTATTAAAACTTGCCCAATTAAAAAGTGCATTGAAAAATCAAATTTTATTTCTAAGAGTAATAGCTGGTACTGTAATGTTAATATATATATATATATATATATATATATATATATATATATATAAATGTTAAAAGTTATATTATTGGCCTGGGACCCACCACCACTTTTTGCCATCACAAATGACCAAGGGTCATTACAGAAACCATCAGTTCTTGCTCTCTGTTACGTCTCTCTCTGTCTCGCTGCTTTTCTTTTCTTTTTTTTTATTCTACTCAATTTAAGCTTGATTAATCTTCAATACTTAGTAATTTTAAGTGCCGTTTGCGGCAAATTGAAGCCCACGACGAGGTCTTCAAATCCATACCAGTAATTTCAACTTTTGGTCATTCTAGGAAGTCCGAAAATTGAGACCCATTTTGAGATGAAAATTGAGGGTTTTGCATAAAAGTGAGGTAGGAGTTCCTAATCCATAAGATTCTTGCTTCCTTGTGAATTATTCTTTATTAATTATAGTTAAACATGCTTAATTTGAGATTAATGCCTCTAAAATGATTTGGTTTTGTATATGGAATTCATGATTATGTGTATATGTGGATTTGTGTGAAAAACGTGCTTAAAATGTTGATTTTATATGCTGGTGTATTTGATAACTTGTTAAAACTTACTATGTGGAAAGCAAGTATACATGTTAATTTTTCATGCCTATGGTGTTAGTAACTTAATAGAAATTGTTAAATTGAAGCATGTTAAATTGTATACTATAAAAGTCTTTTATTTGTCATGACATTTGAGAAAGTATGTAATGTTCATGCATGTCATTGGGCATAAAAATGGGGAAAATTATTTTGAAATGAAAAAGGGAATTTTGGGGAAGAAGTTTTGATTAAAATGTTTTATGAAAACTCAGTTGCCGCGGGGGTACCAAAGGGCCAGTGTGTTAATATAACCTAGAGGGAATTAGGGAGATTGTCCTAGCGTGGTTGAGCTAGCTGGGTACAAAATGGAGCCGCAGGGGTACCAAGGGTCAGGGACACTAGCCAATCTTTCTCTCGTGTCGTTGCGGGATCACTAAAGGGCGTGTTATATTAACAGTTTGAAAGTGATGGATTTGAATGTTGAAAATGGGGAGTGACATCGGCATGCATTGCATTTCATAGCATCATATTATGTATGCTGAGATTGGATTTAATGTTGTACTTTCCCGACATAGTATGACCCCGATTCCTATTGTCCTATTCCTTGTTTGGATTCATGGGGACACAAGAGGTGTGTCTTAGGCACCACTTGCTGAACAATTTTGCTCACCCCTTTGTATTTAACATTTTTTTTCAGGAAACGGGAAAGAAGTGGCGGATGACGTTCCACCACAGGCCTAAATTGGATTAGAAGATTGTTTTGCTATTTTTGTATTTAAGTCCCATATTTTTTGTAAAATAATCTTAGTTTGTTATATTTGGTATAGAGATTTGTGAACTCTTATTATTGTAATTGTATTTATGGGCTGTAATTTTATTATAAGTGGTCTAAATGTTGTAAGACATGGACTTTAGATCTTAACCATGTATTGTTGGGACTGTAATCACGATATTTGGATTAAATGGTACGTGGATGCTCCACCGTGAGATGAACTATGTTGAGGCCTGATGAATGGATCAAAAGGGATGCCGGAATGTATTATTTGCATTTTTATGCATTTAAGCATGTTGTTATAGAATCCCTTTTAGCAGAAGTCATACCGATTTTTCTTTATAAATGGTATCAGTTTAAGTGTAATTACAGGTACAACAAAAGGTGTTTACTTTTCCCTTCCTTGAAGTCAATGACGGAGCCCGGATTTCAAGTGAGGGGGGCACACTGTCAAAAAAAAAAAATACAGAGTACACACACACACAATATATATATATATATATATATATATATATATATATATATATATATATATAACAATTATAAAATTCAAAAAGACAAAGAAGAAGAAAATTATTAAAATATAAAAGGAAAGAAAAATGAAATAACTTTAATAGGAAATAGTTAAAAAGTTTCAATTGAGGAAGAAAAACCAAGGAAATTTAAGGAATATGAAGAGTAAAAGAAAAAATAAAGAAAAAATAAGAATATAATTTTAGGAACTACAAATTTGAGGAGGGCACTATATAAATTTTTTCATACATATGAAATTTTTTTTAAAAATTACCACATATATTATAGGTTGCTGACCAACTCAGGGGGGCACGTGCCCCCTCCTAGGCCTTCATTAGCTCCGTCCCTACTTGAAGTTGATGGTACACTTCTTTGGAATAAAAAGAGCATTGAATTGTTTCTAATTAGCCAATTCAGTCTCAACAGAATTATGGGCCCGGGAAATTTTGATTGTTCCACTGTATTAACATTAGCATATGGAGGTATGGGATACAAATCCATCATCAGTAACGAATGAAGCCATTAGATAAAGTGGGAGTCATTGCTAAAATGGACATAAAATCAGATTATAATTCCATACTAATGTAGATTAAGAACTGGTTTTATTTTTAATTTTTTTTTATTAATATCTTTATGTTTTATATATATGTATAATATTATTTGAAAAATTAATGAAGAATTCATTCTTCTCTCTTCTTATCCTTCTCCTTATTCTATTATTCTTTATTTCTTCCTTCTACATGTAAGTTTCAGACTTGTACCCATCTTTTGTTCAACCAAAAGATTGCTTGATTTGTGGTGTCCTTTCATTTAATTTTATAAATTTTAAAATATTTATGTGCCGTGGTGTGTAGGAAGCATTTCTTTTTAAGAATTTCACATTTAATGTATATTTACCATTCAGCACTGTTCCATTGCTAAGTTTGTTTTATCCCTATTAAAGCAATGTATGTGGGTAATTATGTGTTCGTCTAGGAATTAACTGCTCGATTCATTCTCCAAGAGAGGTTAAGAAACCCCAGACAATCCTGTGGTTGCATCTAACATTCTATGGTGGTCTCATTCTCAATGATTACAAAAATGAGATGTGAAAGATGATGCAGTGATTCAATCTTCTGGGGAGTTCTAAATACTTCTTTAGCTATTATTGCTTATGAGGATGATTAAAAATAAACATTTGCACAAATCCTAAACTATTACAATATAAGAACTTGAGTTAAACCTTTTTCAGATTAATATTATATAATCTGGTATGATAACTGTTCAATTTATTTTCACATAAAGCAATCGAAAAAGTAGTTAAAGTGTACCTGCCAATAGAGAATTTGTTGAGTAACACAACTTGTAGGATCACCCTCTGGCCACATTGGGATGACAATATAGGCTGAAAACCTCTCGTCTGCTCTAATTTTGTTAGCAATTTTGAGAGCAATTTCCATCGGAATTAAATTGTTTGCACCTGCATATGCAAATGGAGTATTTTAATCATCAATCAGTTACACTGACTTTGTGAGAGAGAAAAACTTAGATTCTTAGAACAGAGCGTGTAAAGAGGACAGGAAGGAGTTCCTCACCCAAGTCTTGGTGATTAGTCCAGTTATATGACGACCCAAGGAAGTACTGGTTCTCAATATAAATGAAATGTTTGGCATCACGAATTGCCTTTACATATGCTGTATGGATACTCATGTCTATCAGTACATTCTTACCACATACCAGGTTCTGTTACAAATTAACAATGCACATAGAAATTAGCTAATTAACCATCTTATAAATAAGAATGATTCTACAATCATTAAAAAATAATAATAAAAGAAACTAAAAACCCCCAAATTGTTTCTGACCATTTCTGTTGCATCTTTTGGGTCTTCTGGAAACCCCTTAACCGAGTTGGAGTCAATTGAACGAAAAACCTAAAGTTTTGAGGAAATTAGTCAAGTAAACTAGACTAGTAAAAGTAAAACGAGTATTGAATTAGAACATCTACTAACATATTTTTTTGAAAAAACTAACATACCTGGACATGCCAAGCCTCAGGATCATCCTCTCTCAGGCGAAGCACATCGTCCATTCCTAAGATATCAGAAATACTTTCAGTTTTAAGTAATGAATCATTATGTGATGATACTATTACTTTTCGTAGTCCACTAGGTATTGAGGCCTTTAACCAACGCTGCTCAAAGTTGTTGAGGATATCATATGCTGCCGGACCATCAATTCGGCAGTGTAAATCATGCCACGGTTGTCTTGGACAACCAACAGCAGGCTTCTGTTCAAGTAGCAACACAAATTTGAGGAGAAGAAAATTGAAAGAGTAAACAATTATTTTCACATTTACTAAAGTGGTTGAGGCAAAAACTTCCTTTTAAAAAAAAAAATTCTCGTCTTTTTCAATGTTTTTCTTTTTTTTGTTAGTAAATGAGCATATTATTAGAAGAACCAACAAGGCCAAGCTAGACCAACAGAGTACATCGAAAGAAAGAAAGAAACTTACAAACACAGCCTAAGAGAAAGCTTAGAACAACATCTAATGAAACCACCAAACTAGAATAAAACCCAGCAAACTAGAAGAAAGCTAAACAACTGCCAAAACAACATCTAACGAAAATCAAGCCTCAATCAGTAGCAGCATTTTAGAAATCAAACTCAGCTTCAGTAAACACAAGTCCAGCAGCATTGCTCCAGTAACTGAACTGAGAGAACCAGGGTAGCAAACTGCCATCGAAAGCCAAGAAACCCGGAGACATCAATAAAAAATAGACTCTGGAAGTTGCCAGACCAGTTGAATGTGCTTATTTGTAGTAGTAGCAGGAAACCCATTCAGAGAAGAAATCCTTAATCTCGCAGCATTAGAAATCTTGGAGATAAAAGCAATCATGAGTAAAGAATCTATTGTTCCTTTCAATCCAAATATAATAGACAGGAGTAAGAGAAAAGTAGTTTCAAGATAATAGCTCTGAGAGTGATCCCTTTAAAGGATGTATATGAGCCCAATTGACTACACTGCTCCAAGAATGAAGATTGAGATGATGAACTTGGAAGTCACATTTAGAGAGAACAAAATACCATACCATAAATGTAGAGGAGTGTTATGAAATAAGGATCGAATAGGAGTGTATGAGAACAAGAGAAAAATAATAACAAGATAATAAATAGGCACACACAAACGAGATAAGGATTTATACATGGTTCACCCTCACAAATAGGGTTACGTTTGACGATGATGATTCGTATCACTATAAAGAAGAAGATTACAAACTGAAGAACGTTTTGGTTCTTCCTCACAATAATCTCTCTTCTCACACCACTCACTCACCAATAAAGAAGACTCACTCAACACTCAAGAAATACCCTAAATAGTATATGGTTTACACAAAGAGAAAAACCCAGCCAAATACAAACTTCAACTCTCTCTTGAAGATTGTACACACAAAATTTTTTTCTCACACACACAAAACCAATATACTCTCTTGATCCAAATATTGTCTTACTCTTAGATGCCTCTCGGATGACTTTCATCAAATGTGTGCAAGGCTATATATAGCCCAAAAATACTTGGTGTCCAAGTATATTTCAAAGCTTCATTTGGAAGCCAAATGACACTTGCTGCCCAAGAATTATTCTTGTTGCCCAAGAATTTCAAAGCTTCCAAAGGAAGCTAATTTGGAAGCTTCACCATCACACTTCTTTAGCCAAAAGATTTTTGCCATGTCATAAATGAGTTTTAGACATATTTCTAACAAATCTCCACCTTGACTAAAATTCTCCACCTTGGCAAAAATTTCGAATAAGCCACAAAACTCCATCCTTAGAAAAATTTCTCTGCCTTAGCAGAAAAGATAAGACAACATCATAAAGAGTCTTTCTTCAACACAATGTGAGTAATAAAAATAATGCCATCATCATCTCCAACCCACGCATGTCTTGCGCAGCCACAAGCATACCTTTAGTATTTCTGTCAAACTTTAAACGCTTATCAAAGACACCCTCAAAAATTCCAAGCTTGACATCTCCTTCAGCAACCTTCTCCAACCGCCCACTAACCACCGGTTGGTAATAAAAAGTCATCTTCTCACCCTTGTGGAGAATAGGACATCCTTGACTTTTCCTTGCATCTCTATTGTGACCAACTACTTGCTTCCCACACATCTTAATGGCACTCGAATGGACTTTCTCATTGCCACTAAGATTATTGCAATTCAATATCACACCTGTCCTCATGGGTTTGCCTCCCTGTAAGGACTGCTGCAATTTCGGTTGCCATCTGAAAACGAATTTCTTTCTCCCACCATGTTGTGTAGTCCCCTCACAACCCTTTTGAGAACCAGGATCGTAACTCCTCTTTCTATCTTTTCCTTTACCAATCTCTTGCTGAGTGAGCAGGCCCGCATCTTAATGCTCCAAAGACTGAAACTAATCTTGCCATTAAATTTCCCAATCTCGTATTTTGTTGACATCTCAAAAAACTCCCCAAAAAATTTCTCGGTGAATAATACCGAATTTGTGAACAGTACCCGAATAGTATCTGTACACAATATACGAACCGAGAGCTCTGATACCAGTTTGTTATGTAATAAGGATCGAATAAGAGTTTATGAGAACAAGAGAACAATAATGACAAGAAAATAAATAGGCACACACAAACGAGATAAGGATTTATACGTGGTTCACCCTTACAAATAGGATTACGTTCACGGACGATGATGATTCGTATCACAATAAAGAAGAAGATTATAAATTGAAGAACGTTTTGGTTCTTCCTCACAATAATCTCTCTTCTCACACCATTTACTCACCAACAAAGAAGACTCACTCAACACTCAAGAAATACCCCAAATAGTATATGGTTTACACAAAGAGAAAAACCCACCCAAATACAAACTTCAACTCTCTCTTGAAGATTGTACACACAAAAGGATTTTCTCACACACACAAAACCAATATACTCTCTTGATCCGAATATTGTCTTACTCTTGGATGCCTCTCGGATGCCTTTCATCAAATGTGTGCAAGGCTATATATAACCCCAAAATACTTGGTGTCCAAGTATATTTCAAAGCTTCATTTGGAAGCCAAATGACACTAGTTGCCCAAGAATCATTCTTGTTGCCCAAGAATTTCAAAGCTTCCAAAGGAAGCTAATTTGGAAGCTTCACCATCATACTTCTTTAGCCAAAAGATTTTTGCCATGTCATAAATGAATTTTAGACATATTTCTAATAAGGAGCAAGAGAAGAAAAGGTGATTATGATCATCTATAAAAGTGACAAGACATAGAGAATATAATGCCATGATTAAACACGTGATCCTGAGTACTGAGCTTTAAAAGTATTGCCAACCACAAGATGAAACTAAATATGGGAATATGCCTAGGAAACCATAAGCATTTTCCATGCAGAAGAAGTAGAAAAGGATCATGTAGAAGGAATCCATTTAATAAACCCAAGGGGTTGGCTTAGGTGGGTAAGAACTTGGCCCTGGTGCCTCAAGAAATATCATGTCTCAGGTTCGATTCCTTTTGGGTGCAAATAATTCCTTGTTTGGGAGAGGGGGTCATGTCTAAGGTTCGATTCCTCTTGGGTGCCATCTCCCAAACAAGGAATTGTTTGCACCATCTCCATTGCACATTGTATAGAATATCCTTAACTCTTTGGCAGTTCTAGGCATCCCAGATTTCTATTTCCATATAGCTGATGTATAGAACCAAATGGCAGCCAATAATCATGACTTTTTCATTTTCTTTTTGGCCAAACATTGGAAAATAAACTAAAACCAAAAAAAAAAAAAAAAAAAAAAAAAAATATTGGTAAACACCCATCCCTTTTAATCTCGTGTGTTAATTCTTAAGTTACTGACTGTTATGACTGAGGTTTCTTAACACATAAAACAGACTATCAAATCAACAAGATTAAACTGAACAATTTGGAAACAGATAAATTTCTCTTCAATATCAAACACATGGAATATTAATTATTATTCGAAGAAGCTAGCAATAATTATACAACTAATATTATAGTCAATTATTAGGAAAGCCTCAAGTAAATTTTCAAATAATTGCAAATCCTTTGTACATGCAATAGGGAGTATGCCCTTTGCATGTTTCATAGTTAGCATAATCATGCATTATACTGATGGAGCTTATTAGATACATCAGAACTAGATAAAAGAGAAGAATAAAAAAAGAAAAGAGAAAGAGCAACTGAATAAAATCCAACAGTGATAAAGAACATTGATAAAATGATTACCTTGAAAGTAAGATTATGGTAGTCATCTTTGTGCACAGTTTGTAATGTGCTTAAAATAGGGTGTTTTGGAGTATCATATCGACCCATCGCTAGATCGAGACCTCCAAGAAATGCTATGATCTTTCTCTTGCCATGACCTGCATCAGCATCCACAATCACAGTTTTCTGGTGATGGCTGTAGATTTTTCCTAATTCCTGATAACAGAAAATCAACAAGAAAGGTTCATAGATAGCAGATACTAAATCTGGAAATTATAGATATACTACTATATATCAAGGAACGCCTTTAGGGCAAACAATTAAGTTTAGTGCAGGTGAAAATTAAGCTACCAACATCAAAACAAGTTCTGTTTTAGTAAATTCCAAATTTTTATTTAAACAGGCATCTTGGTAACAAACTATAAGTAATGCAATTAAATAAAGTATAAGTCTCTGCGCTACTGTAGTGTACCAAATTGAAAAAGGAACTAACATGAATACAACATACAATAAGATGAGTCAAACTTTTCTCAGCTTATGGTATGTGATGACCAAGTTTTATTATTATTATTTTTTCCTTTTATATTTATTTTTAATTGCATTTTGTTATGTTGTGGGGTCTAGGTTGACTAATTGATGAGATATGTGTGGATGAGAATGTGTGTGATATGTACATGTGTGTATAGAGAGAGAAAGTGTAAAATAAGCCAAAATCCTCTCATTTCTCCTACTCCACCGACGCTCTCTCTTCTCTATCCCATTCTTTTTCTTTCTTTTTTTCATTTTATTTCAACCATTTTTCCACCATTTCACCTCCAACTTTTGAGGTTTTGAGCTTTCCATAAAAGGGAAGTTGACGGGGACTAGGAGAGGAACAAAACCCCTCAATCAATTTTGGATTTGGAGCATATTTTTCCTTTGGAGTAGCTAGGGTTTGCTTCTAGCTTGAGGTAGGGATGTATCATGCTTATAACCTAGGAGTTCTTGGAATTTTATGATCATTGTGTGAGTTATGTATACACTTGTGTGTGTGGGTTGGATTAGAGAGCTTATATAATGATTAATTACATGTCCATAATGTTTTATTGAGTTCTTATGTTAATTTTCATGTGTAACATGTTATTTGTTTCATTTTTGATATTATTGATGTTTATTAAAGTGTTAGATTTTAGTGTGTACAATTACTTGCAATTAAAGTGCCTTACATATTGTGATTGTTCATGAAATTATAATGTTTTTGTTACCTTATGAGGGTTAACTTTGAAGATATATATTTCTATGATGATATTAAACTTTTATATACTTGAAATTTGATATAATAACAACATGAAATCACATGACTTCAAAATGCCCAATTTGTTGACATTGCATCAAAGAGTGTGCCATTATAGTGATTTGGACAATAGGACATGGATTGTGTGATTAGTATAATTTATGTGCGCATGAGAAGTGCAATTTGGGCATATCATGGTATATGGATTATTTTTTGGGCTTGTTTGTTGATTTTGGGAAATACTCAGGGGTTGTTACTTTGAGAATGCGAAGGTTTGGTGCTCACGGGCGAAACATGAGTTTCCCCACTTTATATTGGCTAATCAGTTAGTTTCCGGCGGACTAGTAATCCAAGAACGACTATTTTTATTTAGGCGCATAGCATGTCTATGTGACCGGTAGTGTAGGTGTGTTCTGAGTTATCTCATTACTTGATTTCAACTTTTATTTTCAAGTTGGCATTTATGTGTTATTGCAACTTATGGATTTATGTACATTACACTATATAATTTATGCTTGTCTTAATAAACGGATTAATATTATTTATGCTACACTAAGATGTTCCTATTCAGTTTTCCCTTGAGACTAGACATTAGGGAGCATGTCCCTTGTATTATATGGCCATGCAATGTTTGTAAAATTTTAAGAAACCTAGTTTATATTCATGAAACATTCCTACGTATGAAGCAATTCGTTACTCGCCCCGTTGATTCTTATATTTTTCAGGAAAGGGCATTGCCCAAGAGGAGGTTCCTCATCCCTAGCTTGATTGGGACCATGACAACATTTTCGAGCTATTTGTGATAATTGTGACATCCATTGTGTAGCTTACTTTTGGACTTATATTTTGACTCAACGTGTATGTGGATAATGTATTTGATGACACATGTTTGTAATATTCTTTTAGAGGAGGGAAATTGTAATGACCCATTCCACCACATGGTATGATATTGTCCGCTTTGGGCCTGAGCCCTCACGGTTTTGCTTTTGAGCTTTACCCCAAAAGGCCTCATACCAATTGGAGATGACACACTTACATATAAGCACTTCACCTTTCCTCTACCTAGGTGATGTGGGACTGTGCACCCATAGCTCGCCAGTGTGGTAGCCTAACAGTGTCTCTCGCACCCGCCCACGGCACACCCGCCCACAAGGTCATCATAATCCACCCCCCTTGGAGGCCCGACGTCCTCGTCGGCACACTTCCGGCTGAGTTAGGCTCTGATACCATTTGTAACGACCCACTCCACCACATGGTATGATATTGTCCGCTTTGGGTCTGAGCCCGCACGGTTTTGCTCTTGGGCTTCATCCCAAAAGGCCTTGTACCAATTGGAAATGACACACTTACATATAAGCACTTCACCTCTTCTCTACCCAGGCGATGTGGGACTATGCACCCACAGCTCGCCAGTGTAGTAGCCTGACAGTGTCTCTCGCACCCGCCCATAAGGTCATCACAATCCACCCCCCTTTGAGGCCCGACGTCCCCGTCGGTACACTTCCGACTGAGTCAGGCTCTGATACCAATTGTAACGACCCACTCCACCACATGGTATGATATTGTCCGCTTTGCGCCTGAGCCCGCACTGTTTTGCTTTTGGGCTTCACCTCCAATTGGTATGAGGCCTTTTGGGGTGAAACCCAAGAGCAAAATCGTACGGGCTCAGGCCCAAAGCGGATAATATCATACCATGTGGTGGAGTGGGTCGTTACAGTTGGTATCAGAGCCTGACTCAGCCGGAAGTGTGCCGACGGGGACGTCGGGCCTCCAAGGGGGGTGGATTGTGATGACCTTGTGGGCGAGTGTGCCGTGGGCAGGTGCGAGAGACACTTTCAGGCTACCACACTGGCGAGTTGTGGGTGCACAGTCCCACATCGCCTGGGTAGAGAAAAGGTGAAGTGCTTATATGTAAGTGTGTTATCTCCAATTGGTACGAGGCCTTTTGGGGTGAAGCCCAAGAGCAAAACCGTACGGGCTCAGACCCAAAGCGGACAATATCATACCATGTGGTGGAGTGGGTCGTTACAGAAATGATTTAGGAACTCACCCATTTATCTTTTGGAGTTCTTATAGAATTACCTCTTTTATTTCTTCTCAAGTAATCTCATAACATTAATCCTCATTTCTCACTTTATGGAATGTAATGAGGCTATGGTGGCCATGACTTATGTGATGAGATTGAACAATTATTGCATGATGTATTTAAATGGGTTCACTTAAATAGTCTAATGTATATTGTTAATTAAATATTTAAGCATATTATTATTATTACTATTATTTTTGTTTTTATTTTCATGAAACCCATTATCAGTATATAGTTTGTTTATATGTATCCAAGTTAGATTCATATCATTAATGAGGCTTTGAAATGATTAGGTGTTATTATGATATAATTGATTTGTTGTCATTTGCAAGTAAACTGACTTTGGCATCGCTACTGTGTACGACCACTCCTCCCATGTGGTCGTCCAAATTGTCCTAGAGCAACTATATGTTGCACGGTGTTGAGGATCACCTTCTTTATATATATATATATATATACATATTATTTTTATTTTACTTTTATTCTTATTATTATTTTTGAATGGTCTACTTAGGTCATTGACGGGTAAATAGTGGGGACAATATTATTACATGGGTATTCACCTATAAATGAATGACTTCGATTTTTCTCTAATTAATTATTTATCTATTTAATTATTTAATTATTTATCTATTTAATTATTTCTTCTCGAACCGAGTCATGGGATATGGGACGTGACATGGTAAGACATATCAAATTAGTTTAGCTATACTTCACTCAATGTTAAATAACATGATTTGTTTAACCATTACCACCCAGTGTGGTACATGATTTGTTAAATAGCATGATTTGTTATTCTCTCTTTCCTCTGTTTTTTTTGTTATTTCTGGTAGGTATATGGTTTTCAATATACACATGGCAGTAAAGATATCCCCCACACCTTGTCTCTCAGTGACTTTCCTATAGCGGAGTGATCATGTTCTTCCAGCAACCCGTCTACAAGAATTGAGGAGTAAGGCTGGAATCTATAACAAGTGGATGCGGAGTCTAGACTGAGGTGTTCAGCAATTAGTTATTGGCAAAGTGTAGTGGGTGTGAGTCTGAGAAAGGGTGGTGTACTTTGCTTTGAGATAGATTGTTTTGTCTGAGACCATAGGTATTACTATTAGAAGATAGTTACAAAATTGTACAAACTGATGCCTCAGTCAACAGGATGGGTTGGAATTTTAATTATGGAAGAACCTTTATCCCACGATTAGGACAACTAGTAGGACCCTGTATAGCTGAATATATATATTTTTGTATATTCTACTTTTTCAGGAACTCGTTAGAGGAACTTGGTAGCAAAATGTAGAAGATTTTGCAATGCCTCAGAACACACGGAAAGAAGGGGCAACACAACATTAACAAGATATTTGTACTTTTTACCTGCTTTCTGACGATGCTATGTGCATTTCCAAAAGAACGGCGGCAAGGTAGCACTTTCACTAAAGAATGTTTGAAAAAAACACAAGTCTCCTCATCATGGGTATGCATTTTTCCCTCCTACATATTTAAAAGCAATAATACCAATAAAAAACTTCTTACTTAAAAGATTGAGCTGCACAGAAGTAGAAGGTTGATGAAGAAATGGCATTTAACGAATAGAGCTCCACAACAAGTGTAATTTAAACTTAATAAAATTAACAAAACATTAAAACTGAAACACCACGATAAAAAGCATTATAAAAGGCCTCAAAGGACAATTACCAAGTCTTGACAATTACCAAGGATAATAAGATTTAACAAAATAATAAATATAAGAAGTTAATATTGATTGATAATATTTTCATTTATTACCTATGCAATTGTCATCAGTGAATTTTTATATTCAGTAAGATTTTCATATAAATCGAAGCAAAAAATTGTGTAAATTTAAGTAACACAATTAAACAAAGCAAATTCAAATGTGCGTCTATGCTTTAGTGTATCCCTTGTTCCATTTACAGTGACCACTATTAAAAAATTTCCAACAAGCCTATTTCAGTTAGGAATCTACAAACCTAGAAAGTTCATGCTTAGAATAATTAAAAAGTAATAAATGAAACTTTTTGTTTTATTGTGAACTTGAATTATTTTCAGTTAGGTTCTCCAAATATAAAAATAAAAAGCTAATTGATAATTGAACAAAACCAAATTAATATTAAAATCACGCTTTACAATATCGGTCTTCACATTTTTCTAATTGTGGTATACAAGGATGGTTTATTTAGGGTTTTCTTGTTGGAAAATAAATTTGATTTTAGAATTTTAGTATTTAATTAGTCATTTCAAGTATTGTGCATTTAGTATGTTAGTGGGTATAAATTGTCTCAATGAGAATTAGTATATGAGAGTTAGTGTGATGGTGAAGATTATGTAAAACCAAGGATTGTGAGAGTTGAGATAAATTGATTATTTTAGTGAGAGTTATACTTACTAAATATCATGTTAGTGGGAATAATAGGTGTAATTAGAAATTTAAATATAATGATTACACATATGTTTGTGAGGCCTATATAATCATGTATTGCAGTCATTCTAGAATGAGAATAAGTTGGAGAAGAAGATGAAATGGTATGAGTAGAATATAGTATATTTCTTAGTGTTCCTTTCCTCAACTCCTCTTCCATATTATTGTGTTGTGTATGCTTCTAGTCTATCCACTTGCTTTCAACGAAGTGGTATCAAAGCGAAAATCAACAAAGTGGTATTAAAGAAAAAGCCAACAACATGCTTGCTTAGAGATTGTGATCCTTCATTAAGAAAGAATATTTGGATGTGATCGGTGTAGCATATGAACAGAGAGGATTAAATATGAAGATACAGAGTTTCCACCAAATCAGAGAGAGATTAATGGGAACTAAAGATTAAAAGTGTGGGGGCAATTTTAGAATTTTAAATTTCTATATATACAAAACAAAAATATAAGAAAATTGACGGGGGTAAGTGTTGGGGTAATATAAAATTCTATATATGTAAAATGAAAATATTAAAAAAATTGAAGGGAGGTGGGGGAAGCACCATGTAGATCCATCAGTGGCCTTTGGGTTCAGACCCAAATCCATATTTTCACGTTTGATGGCCCAATACTTCCCTTCCATTCTTTCTTATTATTTGGTAGGTAATGATAACTCGCCATATCATAATGATAACTCATATCTATGTCATTGGCATTTTTCAATAGTTTTTAACATATATAAGTGCAGAGGCATAAAAATTTAATAAACAATGGAAAGGCCATATGAACACAGCCATTTAATTTTACTTGTTCTTTCAACCATGTTATGATAACTAAGCATTTGCTTTGTAAATAACCTAATCATGCACCTAAGAATTAAATCTAATGAATATGAGATATTTGCATTCTGTAATTTGTGCCATCCCAAGTGATAATTCAAGGATGAACATGAGAAAAAAGATAGCACACTATCTAATTTCAAAATATACTAATAATTTACTAAACATATGTAGAACCCAGATCGAATAAGCTACTAATTTACCAAACAAATGTGTAACTTGTAAATAAAAAAAATAAAAAAATAAATCAATAGTTTCTTACCCTTATGTGACCGAAAATCCTTAACGAAGATGGATCATCCCATAAAAGGAGCAGCACTTTGACACCTTTCTCTTGTGCCTTGGTTTTAAGAAGGTCTCCTAAATTGCAATCTGTTGCATTGTCCTTGCCCCGGACAAGTCTAACTTTATGGTACACAGACCAGCCTGTAATGTATACCAAATGGCGGGCCTGACTTATTGCATCAGAGATGTCGCGCCAACAATCACCATGTTCATACTGAATACCATGTTCAAGATTCAAATTTGGAAGGCAACCCTCATCAGGGACATGGGTATCTTGATAAAGTGTAACCTTTCCACCTTTCCTAAGCGGAAAATAGGCATCTGGAACCCCAACATGGTCCCAGGCCACTTTATCAATGGGAGTGTATTGGATTGATATGATCAAGACACTTTCAGGCTCATATGGCTTCCCACTCGAATTAATGAGTGGGAAGGTACCTTCAACTTTTATGCCTGAATATATTTGCTCCACCGGTACCATAGCAACGCCGATGGTTTCAGAACCCACAAGCTTTTTGTTTTTAACAACAAAGAGCACCTCTGCAGCATAGTGAGCAACAGGAAGACAGAAGTGCTGCATCCAAACCGGGTTCTCTTCGTCATTTTTGACAAAAGTTTTCCCAATAACAGCATTGGATACTGAAATTGTAACATATGGATCAGTTTTCATCCCGTGAGGGATGCGGTTTTCACTTGTGGGGATGTGCTTTTCAATTTTGCTGCTGACTCCGGCAACCTTCTTCCCGAATCTCTTGGCCTTGAATACTGAACTTGTAACATGTGAATTAGTTGCTATCTTTTGAGGGATGTGTTTTTCAATTTTGCAGCTCAATCCGGAAAACATCTTCCCGAATTTCTCCAAAGACAAATCATTTTTAGGAAGGTTCTTAGCCTCTTCGACCCAAATATCTAAATTCCCATGTAATAGCAAAACCTTGAGAGACCCGTCCGAGGTCTTAAATGGCACATGCTGTACACCCTGAGCATGCAGCGAGCCTTCGGAGAACAATTTAGCCATAAAAGAAGACCAAACACTCCTCACCACTTGAATTTTTTTTTTGGAAATACGCTGATGTATGAAACTATATCAAACAAGCAGAGTACAACCAAGAGATTGCTCTTAAAACAACAATAACAGATTTTAAATCAAAAAGAATGACGGGTACCCATTTCCTGTAGACACTGAATTGAGTTTAGGTAGCTCGTAGAAGGCGGGAAATGATCGATCACACTTCAAATTGAAACAAAACAACCCAGGTGACTAAACTAAATTGATGACAATCTTTTAGGGATGTCAACGGGATTGGAATGAAGGGTATAAGCTTATCTGATAGGTTTGAATGGATGAGAGAATATGGGAATGGAAAATGTAGGTAATGTGGGTATGAAGAATGTAGATACTTAATGAGGATGGAGTTGAATGTGAATGATAATGAACTGAAAATTTCCATTTATAAAGGTCCTATCAAGTGAGCTGGTCTATGAATATTCAAATGGAAAATCGATCTGTATAGAAGAAACGAAGACTCAACCAAGTCAGTCAACTACAGAGTCGTCGATGAGAGAGACGGACATAAATTAACTACAGAGAGACCATGGCAAGTCCGTAGATGAGAGAGACAGATGCCGCAACGCGCTTTCTTACTTGAATTTTCTTCTTTCTCTTACTTGAATTTGCTTTCTAATTAACGCGGGAAAGAGACATCAAAACTAACAATGGATAACAATGTTGGAAGATTAATCTAGACTTGTCTAGATTCATTTAAGAAGACCAAGTGATACTTGGAAAGGTGCAAAGAATCTCATAATAATTGCTAGTACATGGAATATTTTAATTTATATAAAATATTTTGACTCATCGTGTGGTTCATTACATATATTAAATTTATGTACTAGAAGTATCCATTGAGTCATGTAAGTGTATTTTCAACACACAAACAATTGAGCAATACAAGATAAAGAATTCAGCTTTATAGAAGTGAGTGTTTCTGAATTGTGTGTTTACTAATTCAGTTGAATATATGTGAGTGTATCCCATTTGTGTTCATTTGCCCACCAACTCCAACAAAGTGGTATCAGAGCCTTGTTACAAGATCGGCAAAGAAAAATGGCGTCTAACAACATATTGTACCCCAACTTCCCAAGTTTAGTGGGAAGAATTACAATCAGTGGAGTATACAAATAAAGGTGTTGTATGGATCCCAAGATTTATGGGAAATTGTTGAAAACGGTTTTGAAGAACCGGAGAATCAAGCGGGGCTGAGTCAAGCACAACTCAATGAGTTGAAGGAGAATCGAAAGAAGGACAGGAAGGCGTTGTTCTTCATTTATCAAGTAATTGATGAAGTAATTTTTGAAAGAATCTCGACAGCCATTTCAGCAAAGCAAGCGTGGGATACGTTACAGGCCACTTATAAGGGTGACGATAAAGTTAAAGTGGTTAGATTGTAAGCTTTTCGAGTTGAATTCGATATGATTAAGATAAAAGATTCTAAAGTGTAGAAGAATACTTTAATCGTATTCTTTCGATCACTAACCAATTGAAGGTGAATGGAGAAGATATTCAAGATCAAAGAATTGTTGAAAACATCCTCCGAAGTATTTTTATTTTTATTTTATTTAAATTCTATATATCTCTGGGATTGTTGAGCTTATACTATCTTCAGTTACACGCAATTGAACTTCTCCAGTCATTCTTTTTGGTTTGCCCTTGTGCCAGGACAATCAATTCATCGATATGTTCTACCAAGCATTGCTGAAAGGGAATCAATCATGACTACATAAAACTGCCGCGACTTTATCGGTAGATTTCTGTGAGTACCCTATGAGAAGTTAGCAGTTCTGTATATAAGCTCTTTACTTGGTCCATGTGGAGCAAAGTTTCGCAGTTTCTCAGTTATCCTTAGGGTTGCACCCATAGAAAATTCGAACACATCGTTGTAGCAATTGAAGAGTTGAAAGATTTGTCAACTTTGTCAGTGAATAACTTGATGGGATCACTCTAATCTCATGAGTTTCGATTAAAGAATTTTGATTCAACGCCTCTAGAACAAGCATTTCATGCTCAAACTTCTTTTAGAGAAGGTTTGAGAGGAATAAGAAGTGATCGAGGTGGCCGAGGAAGAAGAAGAAAAAGTGAAGGAAGAACTTTTGAGTCTAAGGAAAATGCTAATTTTTCTCTTAATAAAGGAAGAGGAAGAGGAATGAATAGAGGTCGAGGCCGAGGCCGAGGTCTAAGCAAAGGACAAGATAGAGGTCACGGTGACTTATATCATCTCCAGTGTTTCAATTGTGGAAAATTGGGGCATTTTCAAGCAGATTGTTGGTTCAAAAAGAATGATAATGAAGCAAACAACAGTTCGACATTCATACACAAGGAGGAAGAAAAAGAAGAAGGAGTTTTCATGTTGGCTTGCAATACACAAGAAGAAGTTTTAGAAAATATATGGTATATCAACAGTGGTTGCAGCAATCACGTTACTGGAGATAAGAACGCCTTTGTAAATTTGGATGAATCTATCCAAAGTGAAGTCAAAACTGGTGATAATAAAAGGCATTACGTTAGAGGAAAAGGCAATATTCTTGTCAAAAGCAAGAAGAGAGTACAGAAGATTACCGATGTATATTATGTTCCAGGTCTTAAATACAATCTTTTAAGTGTTGGATAGATTCTGCAAAAGGGAAATGATATACGCTTCAACAATGATGTTTGTGTGGTCAAAGAAAAAATGGTGGGTTGATTACAGAGGTACAAATGACACAAAATAGAATGTTTCCATTGAAGCTTATGTATGAGAAGATGGTCAGTTTTAGTGCTGTGATGAATGAAGAATCGTGGCTATGGCATCACAGATATGGGCACGTGAGTTTTAACTCATTATCCTACATGTGTCAAAAGAACATAGTGAAAAGTTTGCCAAGAATCAATAGAGAAGATGGAGTTTGTGAAGCTTGCATTTTGGGAAAGCATCATCGAGAGCCTTTTCCCATTAGAAAGGTGTGGAAAGCTTCAAAGCCACTTGAGTTAATACATACAGATTTGTGTGGACCAATGCGAACCATGTCAATGGGAGGTAATCGTTACTTTCTGACATTTATAGATGATTATAGCAGGGAAACATGGATTTATTTGCTGAAAGAAAAGAGTGAAGCATTTGAAAATTTTAAAGCATTCAAAGCCCTTGTTGAAAATGACAGTGGCTACAAGATCTAAACCATACGATCTGATCGAGGTGGTGAGTACATCAGTTATAAGAAGTTTTTGATCAGGCATGGTATTTGACATCAGAAAACTGTTCGAGGGACTCCACAACAAAATAGAGTTGCCAAAAGGAAAAATGGAACCATCATGGAGTTGGCTCGAAGTATGTTGACAGCAAAGGAGATGCCAAAGATTTTTTGGGGTGAAATAGTATCATATGTGGTACATTTACTAAATCGCGCTACAACAAAAGTTGTTCAAGGAATGACTCCTTATGAAGCTTAGAGCGGTTTAAAGCCAAGTGTTAATCATCTAAGAATTTTTGGAAATATTGTTTACTCCCATATTCCAGATAAGAAGAGAGGTAAATTAGATAATAAATCTAAAAAGTGTGTTTTTGTTGGCTATAGTGAAAGCTCAAAGGCATATAGGTTGTACAATCCTACCTCAAACAAGATAATCATCAGCCGAGATGTGAAGTTCAATGAAAAAGAAGTATGGAAATGGTAAAATACCATTCAAGAAAAGAATTCAACTGTTGTGGATAAGGAAAACAAAGAAGAAGATTAAGATGTTCAACATGTTGAAAACACACCAGATTCTCCAAGCTCAAGTTCATCATCATCAAGTGATGAAGAATTGCCTCCTCCAAAAACAAGAAGCATCCAGCAAATTTATGAAGCAGCAAGAAGAATTGATGGGGATGCCTTGATAAATTTTGTGATGTTTGCTAATATAATAAATTTTGAAGAAACCGTAAAAGATAAGATATGTAAGAAAGTTATGGACTAAGAAATTGACGCAATCAAAAGGAAGAAGACATGGGAATTGACTGAGTTTCCAAAAGACAAGAAACCATTTGGTGTGAAGTGGGATTACAAAACAAAGCTAAATGAGAAGGGTGATGTGGACAAGTACAAGGCAAGACTTATTGTGAAAGGCTACAAACAAAAACATGGAATCGATTATGAAGAAATTTTTGCTCTGGTGACTCGATTAGAGACAGTTTGATTAATTCTTGCAATAGTAGTTCAAAGAGGATGGAAAATACATTAAATGGATGTAAAATCAGCATTTTTAAATGGCTACAACAAAGAAGATGTTTATGTTGAGCAACCACCAGGTTATGTGAAGAAAGGTGAAGAAGGCAAGGTATGTCATTTGAAGAAGGCCTTATATGGTTTAAAACAAGCTCCAAGGGCTTGGTACAGTCGCATTGATAGTTTCTTCATAAAGAATGGGTTCAGGAGATGTCCTTATGAACATGCTCTCTACACCAAGGAAGACAAAAGTGGAAATATTGTAATAATTTGCTTATATATTGATGACTTAAATTTCACCAGCAGTTGGAAGAAGATGTGTGATGAGTTCAAGATGTCAATGATGAATGAGTTCGAGATGACATATATGGGTCTTCTTTATTATTTCTTTAAAATCGAAGTTAAGCAAGAAAATGATGAGATCATAATTTCATAAAAGAAATATGCAAAAGATTTGCTTGCAAAGTTCAAAATGGAGGAAGCCTCACCAAGTACAACACCCATGGAAGTAGGTTTGAAGTTGAGCAAAAATGATGGGAGTGAAGATTTTGATGATACTGTCTAACAAGTCTTGTGAGAAGTCTTATGTACTTAACCGCAATAAGACCAGATTTGATGTTTTCAGTTAGCATGCTAAGCAAGTTCATGGCAGCACCAAAGTAAAGTCATTGGGATGCTGGAACAAGATTTCTGAGATATGTTCGAGGTACAATTGATCATGAAATTCATTACAAGAGGGGGTCAAACTTCAACTCTGATCGAATATAGTGATAGTGATTGGGGAGGTAGTGGAGATGATCACAAAAGTACTTCTGGTTATGTCTTTAGCATTGGTTCAGGTGCAGTATCTTGGGCATAATATAAGCAACCTATAGTAGCACTTCAATTACAGAAGCTGAATATATTTCTCTGTCCACATCTGGTTGCCAAGTACTATGGTTGAAATGGGTATTAGAAGATTTGAAGTATTTTCAAGTGAAAGATATTGTTCTATTTTGTGATAATAATTCAGCAATTGCACTTAGCAAGAATCCAGTTTTTCATAGTAGAAGCAAGCATATTAGAATCAAGTATCACTTCATTAGAGATTTGGTTAAAGATGGAGAAATTGTCATCAAACATTGCAAAACCGAAGATCAAATTGCAAACATTTTTACAAAAGCATTGAAGTTCAAAAGTTTTATCAAATTAAAGGAAAAACTTGGAGTTGCACAAGTCTAGCTTAAGGGGGGA